CATGTATTTCTTTTTGGTGTTAAGTAAGATTTTGAATTTTTTTGCCTAAACTCCAGAAAATAAGGCTTAGTATTTAGAAATGTTTTAACAAGTGGTTCGGACATTGATCAAGAGAAAATGAAAGGATCAAACTGTCAAGGTTCAAATAATAAAATTGAAGTCGAATATGTGATTAAAAAAATATATATATATATATATTTGAAATCAAATGATTTTCATTTTTTCAGCTTGTTTAATTAGCCCACTTCTCGATTTTTTTAATTGAAGAGGCTGATCCAAAATTTCGAATATTGGTATTTAATATACACACCATTGTGACCACACATATAAATTCCCCACATTTTATAAGTTTTCAATCCCTTGCCCATTCTTTTCATTATGTCTCCTCTTTTTCCCACCTTTAATACCAGAAAATGCTTGCTTTATATTCATAAAGAGGAAATATATGATTTTATTTAATTTGGTGTCAAAATATTTAGTTTATTTCCCTTCAACAAAATTTAGGCTTTACCCTGAAAAAAACATGCATATTTAAGGGCCGCAAGAATACAAGCCAAATATAGTTTACCTGACATTACCCAAAAAACGATAAGCTTATTCTTCCATAAAACATATGGATTCTAACAATGGCCATGCCCAAACTGTCACACCTGAGACAGAAACCCCGCTTTTCAGGCCAGCCTCGACTCGCCGGACTCCATCCTTTTCTTCATCCTCACTGTCACATGATTCATGGGATTCATCCTTTGGTTCATCAATCTCTTTAAATGAAAAATTTTCATCACTTAGTCCTAATAGCACCCCCCTAAAATTCTCCGGTGGAGTTCCATTCTCTTGGGAGCAACTCCCTGGAATTCCCAAACAACTAAGTGCCAAGAAAAAGGGTAGTGTCGCCACCAGTCTCCTCCCATTGCCGCCGGCTGGAAATTCAAATCACTCCAAGAAACAAATTCCAGAAGGGATTTCTCCAAAGAAGTACATTGGAAGTGACAGTTTTAGAGAGGACCCCTTTTTTGCTGCATTAGTCGAGTGTTCCAAAGATGATCATAGTCGTCATCAAAGGGTTGGGATTAATCTTTGGAAAGGATCAAAGATTTCAAGAACGTTAAGCGATAGATTTGGATTCATTAACATGTACACTTCTTGCAAAAGCAATAGTGCAGTTTCAGAATCTATCGTTTATCTCCCAAGACCACATTATCATCTCAATCGTCGTCCCAGCAAGTTGAAATGAACTACCAGGATTCGTTGCTGCATCTATAGATCAGTTTCACGTTCTAGTAATTACAGAATCTTTTGTTTTAATGTTAAGTTTTATGGTATTTGAGGACATAGCCTATCTGCACGAAAACATATATAATATAATTTAATCTATCTGTGTTGTATTTTCCTGGAAATCGTGCCATTTTCTGGGAACCATGTGACATTCTTTTGAATTATAAGTGAAGATTACCCGAGCCATGTGAGATTAAACCACCACATTACTCTGTATTAGGAATTTGTCCAACTCACTGTCGTTACAATATGTGGGACTTGGTACTTTGAATTAGACAATGCTTGACATTAACATTCATGAAATTCGTCATATAATTTTCTTGTGATTTTGTTCGTGCCCTTTTTGACTTGCTTTGAACCAAAAACTTTAACAATTATTGAGAACAACACATTCCATTCACTTATAGGTTGGATTAAAGTCTAATATGTACACATTTTTGATAACGGTAAGACTTTAAACTGGATTGATATTGTGTGCTTCGTATTATGAGTTTTACATCTAGACATTTAAACTGTTGGGATCGGAAAAGATGCGTCTGTTTATTTATTTAAATTTTATTTTCAACGCCTTAACTCTAGATTTGTTAGTTTCATTGCGGATTCTTGGTTGCATCCAACAGTCTTAAATTAAGTCCAAATGCCCAAAAATTAATCAACATAAATAATAAATTTTGAAAAAAAAGGTTCTAGGTCATGAAAATTTGACAATTAAATTAAGGAGACGTGTAAATAAACAACATATACAAAATTAGCTGAGATAATCGATAAATTTTCAATCCTTGCACAATAATGTACATGTCTTAATATGTCCTCGATTATTTCATAACACTTCAACGAGTATATATCGATTTAATAATAGTGCTTAATCATCTTTGGTAGTGTAAAAGATCAACGCTAGCATATGGGTTCATATTATAAAAATAGTTTAATCTGAAATTTCTTTTTCAATTATATATTTTGGTAGGTAAAGAACATTGACGTCATTGTGACTCTCAAGCATAATATCTTTGTTGAAAAATTTTAAATAACAATTAATAACTTGAGAAATTAAATTAAGTAAATTAAGTAGGGCCATTAGAACGCTATAAAGAGTGGATTAATCATTATGGTAAGTCATATAATAGAATAATTTCAAGTTTCAACTCCTTGAATATTGATGTATGTCTCAAGTTGGCCGGTCTGCACTCATTATGAGCTCGACCCTTTTTGAGTTGCTTAATGATGAAAGCACATAGTGGGCATTGTAACACTAAGTGCGAAAGGAAGTAGTGCTAGAATGATGAAAGTATATAGTGGACATGTTCAATCGAACTTTAAATTATATGTGTTTTGTGGAGGAGGAAAAGTATGGAAGAAAAAGAAATAAGAAAAATATGTTTGAATTAATGTTCAATTTTTTCCTTTAGATTTGATATTAATTTCTCCCCTATCACAAATTTCCAAGCTTTCGCAACAAAATATGTAGTTTTATTATTTCTTCTTTAAAATATTGCTCTCTTTGCTGGTAATAGGCCTCACAAAACTAAAAATCTTGGCTCCATCCATTTCGCAAAATCATGTAATTCATCATTAGAGTTGGGCGTGGTTCGATTCGATTCATTTTTAACGAGAATCGAATCGATTTCGAAATTGTTGGGAATTTAGTAAGTGGAATCGTTGGGTCCAAATTTAATTATGAAATCGTTTGTATTCGATTCAGTTCGATTTGATTCATTTATCGGGTCCGTACTATAATTAATTTTTTTTAATATTTATGAAACTACATTAATTCAACTAATAACATGTTCATTCTTAGCTCTTACAAAATGACTTAATCCAATCTTCTGTGTCTTTTACGTCTTTCTTTACTGAATTCCTCATAAATTTGATTGTTAAAATCATAGGAAGATAAAGATAACAAGCTCACAATAATTAAGAGAAGTGTCGTTAAGCGTCAATTCGATTTCTTCAAAATGGTATAAATGACACTATGGTAGAATAATATATTTAGGTAAAACTTAGGTCAATTTGATTAAATTGGGTTTGGATTGAAAATTAGTAGTAGGAAAATCATATTTTTTGATTTGAGTTAAATTAACTAGTAGCAAATTTATTTTAAAAAATACAAAAATTTGGCTTATTTAAAATAAATAAATAAAAAAAATCAGAAAACTAGATTTTTATTCGATTATTGATCTAGAATCGAGAATCGAATCGAAATTCGCTCTCTTGATCGACTTAATTTATATTTTAAAAGTAATTTCTCGTGCAAATTAAGAATAGTTTCACTTACGCACAAAAGTCTAGTTATCAAATAATCTGCTTATAAATGCAGAGTCAAATATCCATAAAACGAACCTATCATATTTGCCGACACGAGATTACTGTAGGTATAAGAAAGCTATCCAGTAACCATATATTTAATATTTTATTTGTTAACGGGATACGTGCATGAAAATCTACACTTTTTATTTATTTATTTATTTATTTCACGTCATATTAATGTCAACAGATATTTTAGGCTCCGACAAAGTCAGACCAAGAATAAATGTTTGCAAACAAAACTAGATATATAATAATACAACAAATTTTAATTTATTCTAGACTATTTTTTTCGTTTTCTTGGCACGTTAAATTCATTTTATTCTCAAAATTTGGATTATCCATTAAAACTATAAAGTTTGAGCTAGCTAGGTTGGGTGGACAATTGACCTTCGTGTTGATCGTGTCAGCTACTCAATAGAAATTTTTGATTTTCAATAAAATATATAAAAATCCTTGTTCTGATCCCTTCGAGGGGAAATGCATGATGCTTTCAAGCATTATACCAAAGTGTATATCAGTGTCGGTCCTGTGCTTTTGGGGGCCTGAGGCGAACTTAAAATATTAGGCCCCCCTCCCCCACCAAAAAAAGAAAAAAAAATCTGCATGCAAAATATATGCGTATTATGGTACCAACTGTTAACTTAATACTCAACTGTAAAACAAAAACAAAAAAAAAATTGTCTACTACTCCAAAATGCCTTCTATACCAAAAATGGGGCTCAAACAATTGATCCTACAATTAAATCTAACAAAAGTCAATATAATTCGACAAGAGTGCAATACTACAATGCAATATATAAGCCGACAAGGCTTCGAACATTTCCTATATGTTTAATAGTTTATAAATAAGCAGGGGCAAGCCATTGCTTACCTGAAAAATATGAATTGAGCAAAAATTATGAAATGACACAATGCGGCACTTTGAGAATTCCACTGTCACAACTCACAATTCTGAAATTAAAATTTAACAACAACCACGACAACCAATTAATTGTTGAAGATAAATTTAAATTGTATATGAAAGATAAATTTAATAGCAACCATTAAAACGTCTCTGCATTTCTCTCCCACTCCATTCTTCTCTACATTTGCATGAAGTAGAATATAATTTTCAACCACAAGAAGGATCTTGGCTAAATCCATTCTTGAAGTTGACAGACATGAATACGTGGGAGCTCAAAATCTTTCGATCTCAATACATCATTCTAGAAAGACTCACACAACTAAGGTTCTACATTTCTAGTACCAATCCATGCACTGATATCTCATTAAGAGACATCAATTAACTTATAAATAATTTTGTGACCAATTAACTTGATAAGTTGTGACCAAATATATAGATTTGTGGCCTTAATATGTTTAATTAATAAAATATTTTTTTAATCAATTATTTCATTAATAATATCTGAAATTTGAAATTGCAAACCTTCTCCTCTTAATTTTGAAGTAGGCTATAAATAAACTCTTACAAATGAATTTTTCCCATTTGTAAATTAGATCCCCAAAAGTCAACGTAATTACAAAATTCAACAGTGTGTTATGAACCCAATATTAAAATACAGTGGGAGCGAGACTAGTGCTTGATCCGATGAGCTAGATCAACCGTCAATCTCCGTCTTGGCGAGATAGTTTATTAATATATATTAAATAATATTAAAAATTTTCAATCCATATATAAACATGATATAACGTAAAAATCATATACAAATTCTCCTCACAAAAATTCTTTTTTCAAAAATCTTTCTCTACATATTCACAATTTTACAAATTGTCCTCACAAATCATAGTCCACAGATTTACAATTTCACAATTTTTTTAGTTTTCATAAATTATAAATCATCACAATTCACATACTGAATCATCAACTAAATGATGGAGACATATAAAATATCACTTCAAGACTTTATGTTCTAAAGGAGAAAGGCATGAAAATGAACTTAAAAAAATAAAAACGAAAAAAAAAAGGGAAAAAAGAGAAGAGAGGCTCACAGCACTAGCGGCGGAGGCTCACGGTCCTTGAAGGTCACAACCACTGTTCACAATTAGCACTTGGCTGGAAACGAGGAGGAAGATACTCATTAGGGTAAGTATGAATTAAAAAAAAAAAAAAAGGGCAGCCAACAAGCCTTTGGCCCAATTGTTTTAAAATCCAAAAACAGGCCTAAAACAAAGGCCCACTACTTAAAAGAAGAAAAAAAAATCTACTAACCTTTTCATCTCCTTCAACCTTTAGCAGCGGCAATCATCTCCTTCAGCAACAGTCGGCGATGACTGGTTCCAACGTTGGACTTCCAACCTGTAAATTTCGTCGGAGTCATTGGGGGCGACCGACCCCACTCGGCCTTAATGGATCCGCCCCTGTCTCCTTCCAGCTTTTTCATTTAATTGCCAAAAAAAAAAGGAGAAAAATGGAAAAGTGAGGCCCCCTTCCAATTTTGGCCTGAGGCGCAGGCCTCATCTGCCTCGCCTCAGGACCGGCTCTGGTGTATATCAATAAGATTATTTAAGGAAAGCTCAGGTTGCAGTTGGTTTAATTTTTCATTTTCGGTTTCAAAACGATTTTTAATTTTCCCTAAAAACGACGCATTTTGGACGTTTTCCGTGTTTTGGGAATTTATAACTGAAAACGTTCAAAATGATAAAAAGTCGTTTTGTATTTTCAGTTATAAAATTTAACTAGTTTTCGAAAATGCATTTTCGAAAACAACGACCAAACATGTTTCCGCGTTTTCGAAACTGGAAAATAGAAAATGGCCCGAAAAGGTCTAACCAACCGCAGCCTAAGTTTTTGCATGTGCATTGAGTTATTTCCATCCTTTTATCTTCATGCAGAAGAAGATGTACTTCATTTGTACTCCTTTTATAGGTTAATAAATAAGAACAAATTAATATATGATATTTTCCATTTTAAGCATAAAAGTTTTGACAATGTTTCGAGATTATGTAGAAGACATAAACTGATTCTTATTCACTAATTATTGCAACTGTTTATGTTGTTAATTTGATTCTGCATATTTTGTGCAAGCAAGTACTCAGCCATTTTCAATTAATCTTGACGTCTACCAAATCAAATACAGCATGTCACGGTGTCCTCCGACTCATTTTTTGAACATATTCTATATTTGTTGATTGAATGAGAGCTAATTTCATTAAGTTCATATGAAACATATTTCAAATACTTGTGTCATTTTCGTTTAGAATTAGAAACCCTAATCTTATCGACAAAAGCGATAAAATTATAGAAAAAATAGACTCAAGAATGCAAAAACTTTATAGATATTCACTTATAATGAGACTACATCCACTCCTATAACTGTAATAATTCACTATGATGAAAAAAAAAAAGTTTACAAAGTCACAAATCATATCTTCTCTCTCTCTCTCTCTCTATAAAATTGAAATTACAATGTGATCTGCATATTAACTCTGCACAACAACAAATATTGGTCTTCACAACTTAACATTATTTTTCCTAAGTTTCTTCTAATGTATATAATAGTGAGAGTGTTGGAATAGTGGAATTGTTTGAAATTTTTCACGATGAAGACAAGTACCGTAACTATAATTGCTTGAAGTCATTCTACAAATTTGAGAATTGGAGAAATATTACGTGAATTTAACGTTGTACTATAATATTTGCACAATTTTCGTTGTTTAATGCACCAACTTGTCTTCCTGAAATTTCATATCCACGTTAAGATTTGAGGGCTGCTTGAGAAGGACATTGAATCCCTACCACTCTCTCACCTTAACAAATGTAGATTGTGACATTAGTCTTCCCAACAACCTGTTTGGATTGAGATAGAATTTGGAAATAAATAAATAGGTAGAGATTTCAATCTCAACTAAGGTGGTTTTCTAAAGCTCCACATTCAGATAAGGGTCCCAAAGTTTAAAAATTTCATTCTAAATAGTTTTATCAATAAAATTTCCGAATTAGATTTTTCATCGATGAAAGTTTTTTAAAAAAATAATAAAAAAAAATCTAAAGTTTTACCTTGCATGCTTCTACTTGGATCAAATACTGTTGAATCTTACTTGAAATTGAAGAAATCTTAAGATAAAACTGATAGAATCATTTGTATTGCATGCCTTGCCTTTGCTTGTACACCTTGGTCCAAAACTCTATCACAATTGAAGGAGATCATTTGCACAATTCAAATGCCTTTTATGTTATAATTGAATGTCCAAAAATGGTTATTTCTTGTTTTTCAATATTGCTCCATTTTTACATATAAATCTTGTTGTGTTTTTCTTGAGGGAGCAATTACATCCCACATTCTTATCACTCTTGAAATCAAGGGAATTATTGTTGGTTATGGATGGTGTAAAAGATATTTCACAAATCAAAGAATAATTTCTTCTAGCAACCCATTTCATTCAACATCTCTCACTGCACATGAAGAACTTGATATGAAGTCAACAATCATAAATTAGATTTGGCTAAAGATCTAACTCACAAGCTTCATACTGGTAAATGGATATCGCGATCCACGAGTAACTTAAAGCATGCTGATCTAGATTTATTTTTTAACATCTAGATTTATAGTACTCTACAAGAGGAATGACATTTCTCGCCATACAAACGTGCATTTATTTTATAACATCTACATCAAATTTTTAATCCATCAAATTTTTAATCCCAACACTATTGTATTCACAACTGCATCCAAAATTCCAAATAGTTATTATAATTGTCTCTTTGGTGAATATATGTGTTGATAGCGCGATCCACGAGTAACTTAAAGCATGCTGATCTAGATTTATTTTTTAACATCTAGATTTATAGTAACTCTACAAGAGGAATGACATTTCTCGCCATACAAACGTGCATTTATTTTATAACATCTACATCAAATTTTTAATCCATCAAATTTTTAATCCCAACACTATTGTATTCACAACTGCATCCAAAATTCCAAATAGTTATTATAATTGTCTCTTTGGTGAATATATGTGTTGATAGAATAGTCTTCATTTTCTACTCAAATTTCTTAAATTTAAAATAGTTGCTTTCCTAGATATATCCTGTGAAATCGAATCATTTATGATCATTGACAATATACTAAAGTTGCAACACTATGATACAATCTTGAGAAACAAACTAATTCGTAAGGATATATATTAAATGAGATTATATGCTACTTTGGATAGTGATTTCAATTACCACCCCAAGTGTGGAGCCATTAAGTTGACACACTTGGCTTTTGCCGATGACTTGATGCTTTTTGCTATGGGTGATATTATGTCGGTTCAAATTATCATGAATTGCCTTCAAAGGTTTGGTCTCTCTTCGGGTTTGAGTATTAATTTTCTGAAATCCAGCATCTATACTGCTGGAATTTATGGATATGAGCTACAAAGAATCATGGAAATTTCAGATTTTCCGAAGGGTTCTATGCCTTTTCGTTATTTGGGTATCCCTCTTGCCGCGGTGAAGCTTAAAGTGAGCTCTTACGCTCCTTTCTTGGATAAAATTGCGGGTTATATTGGTGGTTGGAATTGCTCCCCCCCTTTCTTATGCCGGCAAGGTTGAACTTATTAGGGCGGTACTTCAAGGAGTGAAATGCTTTTGGCTCTCTATTTTTCCCATACCGGCTACAATTATTTCTAGAATTGTTAGCCTTTGTCGTACCTTTCTTTGGGAAAATAAAAAGCCACTTGTTGCATGGAAGGATATTTGCCTACCGAAGGAAGAAGGGGGTCTTGGATTGAAAGACCTATGGAACATTCATACAAATAAGGAGACCCTTTGGATTAGGTGGATTCACCATGTTTACCTTAAGGGGAATAGCATTTGGGATGTCCCGAAGAGGAAAGACCACTCGCCTTTGTTCAAAATACTGCTGGATATTCGGGATTTTCTGGTTCTTAGAGGGGGAGCCGGGCAGAATTCTTATTCTGTGGAGATGAACGGTCATGGGGATTTAAATCTGGATAATTCCTCAACTCCGAGTGATTTTTTGGCCCTAATTCCATGGGAGTCCAGCCTCAACTTAGAGGCCGAAATGGGCAGATTTACAGCAGACTTTTAGGCAGGCAGACAGCTTTGTTCGGTAGGCAATTTTTCGGTTTTTCAAACGAAAATCTGGGCAGATTGGCTGAAGATAAATTCAATACGAAAATTGCCTATAATTTCTTTAGGCCAAGGGAACTTTCAAGCCTTGGGGAGCTGAAGTTTAGAAACCGTGCATCACTCCGAAGCATGCTTTTATGCTTTGGTTAGGGGCCCAATCAAAACTCCTAACCAAAGACAAATTGCTCTACTTGGACATCGATCGCAAACGTATCTTTTGTGGATGTTTTGAAGAGACTTGTGAGCATCTTTTCTTCAAATGCTCTTTCACATCTTCATTATGGGGGAGTATTAGAAGATGGCTTGGCATCACAAGATCAATGACGACACTTGCTATGACTCTTAAATGGTTAAAAAAGGAGGCTCGGGGGACTTCGTGGCTGAGCAAGGCGAAGAGAGTTGCTCTTGCTACCACAGTGTACTATATTTGGCTGACGAGAAATAGGAAATTATTTGAAGACCTCTCATATGACTTGGATTCCATTGTGAGAAGGATCAAGACTCACGTATACAAAGTCATGCTTACTTTGTATCCGGATGTCTTGACTCTTTATGAATCCTTCGCCATGGAGCTTTGATTCCTTTTGTATTAGCTTTCTACTATCTTTGCCCGGGTATGCCCGGAGAAGTTGTTTATGTTTATAGACATTGATTCGCCCGGGTATGCCCGGTGTACTTGTATTTGATTATGGACATTATCTCGCCCGAGTATGCCCGGTGTATTTGTACATGGTACATTTTTTATCTATATATTTACATTTACCGATAAAAAAAAAAAGTAGCAGAGATCCATTCTTTCAATTTTCAATGTTCATCAAAGTACAAATGGTATGAAATATATTTTTTCCATTTTCTTGAGGCATATATCATCTTCTATAAATTAAATATACCATATAGATCTAAGTTCAAACATTCCTCGATACCTAACTTGAATTTTTCTTAATATTTATTTATCTAGACAATCTCAATAAGAGCTCGATCAGCAACTAAAACAAATCTAATGGATAGCAAAATTCATTTGGATCAAGAATAGTAATCTCATCTTGATCTTCATCTCAGTACATTCCAAAATGTCTGAGACAATTATTCATATGAGTGAGTCAATCTCTACATATTCGAAATACTTTTTATTGTGCATGCAAATAACTTTTTGAACTAGCAAACTTTCGTTCAAGTGATTTCAGCCTAATAATCGACTTAAGTTGACCTAATTTAAAATACGGCAATTTTAATCTCAAACCTTCTTTTCAAAGTTGTGAATTGGGATGAAATCCACTCGCGAACCCACTGATATTGAAGGTCAGTCTAAGTTAGGCTATTCAATATAGCTAATATTGAAGGTCAGTTTTGACTTAGGACTAAACTCGTAATCGTTGATTGTCATGAACCAAATTGTTCGCTCCAACACGATCGACTCTAACATTGGCCGAGCCAAATATTATCATGCATATGATTGAACATGTTATTAGTTGACAGGTGTTTGTTCACACATAATTTTGCATTATGAATTGGTACCTACTCTTAGATAACGCGCAATTACGTATTAGACGCTTTATTGTGGTTCAATGTGTATCATCGTAAGAAGGTTAATTCTAAAGATATTATTTTGCCCCTATTTGTGGCCATTTTTTTTTATTTTGAAAAAATAACATTTTGAATAGTAAATTTTCGGAGAATGTATAGTTAAAAAAAAAGGTTTTGAATTTACATATAAAATATTTTATTATGTGAATGTGATTGAAAATAAGAATGCAGAAAAAAAGAGTTTAAAGAGAATGAGAGACAAATATAGATTTATCTTATGAATGTAATTTACTTTATTGTATTTTATTTATACCCAATTGTTTTTCGATTTTGCTAGTGGTACATCAGGGTGTACCTAATGGTGTACACCCCGTTCACATGGGCGAGAGACCCACTCGAATAAAATATCTTTTCTTTCACATGGGTCCCACACCCATATAAGTGGGGTGTACACCATTCGGTACACCCCATTATATATCACTAGACAAATTCATTGTTTTTTGCCATATGTTTTCAGTCTACGTTATATATCAACTTTGAATTATATTTTTTTTCTTATCAATTAGGTTATATATGGTGTTTCACCTAGGGATGTCAACAAGTGAGTCGAGCCGTCTCGCGAATCGAAACTTGAGGTTTGGGCTCAACTCGAACAAAATGGTTCAGGCTTTTTTTGCCCGAGCCAAGCTTTTGCTCTACAAAAAAAATTTAGGCTTGATCCGGACTTTTGACTCGAGCATTATCTAGTCGAGTCAAGTCGAATCGACTCACTTTTTTTCTTAGTTGCCTGCAAAAGGCCGCGACATGCTGCCTGGTACAGTTACAGGCAGCTACATAGTTGCCTGGTGCAGTTGCAGGTAGCTGCACTATTACCTGCAGCTTAATTTTTTTGCATTATTTTTTTAAAGGATCAGTTCAGCACGGACCGAAAAATACTTATGACCAAAGTTGATTTTAGATTGACGCCCCAAAATGGGGCTCGTCCCAAGCCTCTAGTCGGGTCGGTTCAACTCGAGCTTTTTCAAATCGAGCCATGGACAGTTCCAGCCAACAAGCCAAATTGTTTCACCCACTATTGATAATTTGGTGATGGGATGTTAATTAATTTTCGAAATTTGTGATTTGTAAAAATATGAAATTTCATTAGTTAATTGAATTTTTATTGGTTAATTCAATTTTGGATCTCATCAAAAAATGGAGAAGATCGTTACTTTAATTTCAACAAATCATTCACCAGTTCCTCAATTGCTGTAAAACCTCGATTAACACACACCTACGCACATATTCATCAAATAATTCGCAATGTATTAATTCTCCCAGTTTAGAGAATTTTCGCCCGAAAATGCCACCACCGAGTAAACCCTCCTGGAGATTCTCTTTCTTCGGCCTCGCCGCCAGCGGTAATAATTCCGAAAAAGACGATCTTGAGAAGCCACAGCTGAAATTAAATGCGGACAGGGAAGTGTATAGACCGGGTGATCTAGTGACTATCATGATTGAAATAAAAAAATCCAACACCTGAATGGTCACTTTTGATTGAAAAGCAAAAGCTTAACTTCGAGATTAAAGGGATCGAAAAATTGGACCTTCAGTGGTTTAACAACCCCAAGTCCACTCCTGACTTGAAGCAGCGACGAGTTATATTCCGTTTCTTCTTTCGCTTTTGAGTTATTTATTTATTTTTTATTTAGTTACTTGGCTCAGTTTGGTGGATTTTCTGAATGTGGGTTTTCTGTTGAATTACTGAGAAGCTAAGACGTGGGCATGGGATTTTCTCCTTTTAAATCAAATAACGTAAATGAAATGATGAGTGGAATTGTTTGATCATTATAGCTGAAAGATTGGTTACTAGTTCGTGTTAATACATGTGCAATACATGGAAGATAGTCGACTCAATTTATGAGAATTGCGGGGAAAAGGTTGAAATGTGGATTTTTGGTGGTAGATGACATGTTAAAGTTTCAAACTTTAATTTTTGACAGCGTTGAATTGGGACATTGAAGTGGAGATTGAAACTATTATAAATTAAATTGGACTGCAATATATTTTGCAGCCAAAATAGTGCTTTTGAGTTCAACTTTCTGATAAGCCAATTCAATTTGAATGGAATTACATGTTTCCCTTTCCACAGTTTCCCCATCTTTAAGAAATTCAAAGTCATGTCATTCAGACTAAAGGGTCATAGTTGTACTTTGAAGTTTATAGGAGGATATCACCTGCAATTATGCACCCAAACTAGCTTGACTCTTAACAAGTTCATTTTATGCTAGTGTGCATCTCTTTATGGAACACATAATTGAAATTTACTCCTCAGATCACATTGAACTCTGATGTCTTTAGGATGGTTGTAGGCTATTTGAAGGTATGTACTACTTGTGGAATAACAAAATCTCTATTTTCTAGTTCTAATATAAAATGGCATGAAATGAAAGTAGAGTTTATAAGTGAAGTTGGATGTGCCAAAAGATAAAATGAAGACAAAAATAACTGTATACTATATAATTATCATCTACATTATGCTTGCTTGAGTGTAATTGTGGGTTATTTCTTTCTTCTCAGGCAAGTATGTTTTCGTGGATTGCCCGACTCTTGCAGTGGTTTCCAATCAAATTCTTTCGTGTGGAGCAGCTAAAACTTGTAAACCTAAGTAAATATTGTTAAATATGCTCTTTGTTTGGTGGCAATGGAGTTGTCAACTAATTTATTGAACTTCAAACTCCATCACGTGGGTCACTCAATCTTGTAACTTTGATGAAATTCATTTCTTGATGATCGCTATTTTTGTTGTTATATGCTCACTTCATAATAGATATTATAGATGGTTGTTCATGTATATTCACCAAAACAAGTAATAGTCTAATGGTTAACCGAAATTTAGTGAAATACCAACAGTTTTGATGTCCTTCTCAAGCAACTTCAAATAATTAAAACTTCATTATTTATCTAACTTGTTGATTTCATGCTCATCTGTTGGCTGCTGGACGTTGTTTCTTTTCAGATATGGTGCGCACACTTCTACCAACCATTATACCACCATCATACAGAGGTGCAACCATTCGTTATCTGTACTATGTAAGGTGTACATTGTCTGGCCAATATCTGAATTTGGAAAATGGACCCTCTCATGGGGGGTCAATACGAGATCTTTCTGAGCTGGTAAGGTTTCTTATAATCATTTTTGCTTTTTTATGAGTGCTAAATTAGTGTTTCTCTTGATTCCTCTACAACTCTATGTATAGCCGCTTTGTTTCTGCTGAAGCTAAGTTTTCCTAAATCTTGTCGATAAAGGATCTATAGATATTTCCAAACTTGGGAATCTGGACATTATAATCGATATTCAAAACCATGGTCTCAACAATGATCTCTTTCTATTTAATTATTTTCTATTAACTGAAGTCTTTTGCTTAACCTTTCATTGAAGGATGTGATGCTTTCTTGCTCCTTCATACTCTATATTTCCTTTATTCATTTTTTATTACCAGGGGAGACATGATATTTATTTTTACTCTTCATCTCCATTTTGGGAAATAATCTTCCAAATACTGAAGATGTTGAGATGATATGATCAAATAGTGTGTTTCTTTTGAAATAATTAGAAAGTTGTTGCTTTCTTCTAATTATTATCATTCCTTTCATGCTTTTATAAAAAATTCATGTTGATTATCATAAATACCTCAAACTTTGCAGGAATCCCGAATACCATTTCAAGTATGGGTCAGTCAGGAAAACAATGGGTTGCAGAGTGAAGAAGCTTGCAATGACGGTATACTTTTTGTAACATGCCCCCTTGAATTTGTGGATGAAATTAATAGCTTGTGTTACTGCTATGGCATTCTTATTCTTTTTCCTTTTTTTCCTCTCTCGTCCTTGATAATGCCAATTTTTCTGAATGATCTTTCTGGTATGTATTGATGTAATTTATAGAATATTACAGTGGAAATATAAGGAAAGTTTTGCTGTATTATCAAATAAAATCCTAATTTTGGCAACTACTAAACTTATGTGAGTTATATATGGAA